CGAGGGCTTTCCGCCCCTATGTATGTACACGTCCCATTTTCGTTCCGGGGCAAACAGGGGGGGGGGGGGGGTCGGTCGACCAACTAGCCAGGCCAAAATAAGCAAGCATATAGCATAAGGAACATCATAATCGTCATGGGTGCAGGGCATTGGTGCTAGGGACACGAGATAGACAGGAATAACTGGAGTCGATGCTTGAATGCGCGCGCGAATAAATACCTAAGGAGAGAAGGGCAGGACCGACACGAACGACATCATACATCCAAAGCACGGACACATTGGCACGAGCTTTGCGGTCAGTACATCTCAAGACTTGCGCCCACTAGTCCTCGCCCCTGTCCCCCTCAAAAATGCTGTGCACCTGCTCGTGATTTGTCTGTATGTTCAGCGACGTGCTCCTCTTTCCATCAGCACTCCTCTTCCTCACTCCTCACTACCTGTGTAACCTGCCCCTCCCGTTTAAAACTCGGTTTCTCCCCTTTGCTGCTGTCTTTGTTTCTTTGTCTTCCGTTAGCCACCCCAAACTATGAAAGGCCTCAGGCATAGGGAGAGCTCTGCCTTCACCAGCCCGTCTTTCCATGCCACCAATTTACATTTCTCGATGGGCTTTCCTCTGGGTATGCAACCCCACCCCACCTTTAGTTTTCCCCCCCCATCCCTTCTCATCGCCATTTCCCTACACATGCGACAAAACCAGTTCTCTTAAGCTCGAGCTCGCTCTTTCGGGGGGGAGGGAGGGGGGGTGCTGTACATCCCAACGGGCTGTTGGGCCTATTCCCTGCCTATACCTAAGAAGGCACAGCCGATGAGCTAACTACCCCCATGAGCAGAAGGCACAGCAGATGAATGAGCTACACCATGGAGCAGAGGGCACAGCAGATGAATGAGCTACCCCATCCGCCCTACAGGTGCATCGTTCCTCGCCTCCTTCCACCGCCACCGCCACCACCACTCACCATCTCCGGATCGGCCGGCTTAGGGGCCGGTCGTCTGGTCTCGAGGCCTTTCAACGGGGCGCGCCACCACGCCTCGCGACTCTTGGCCGGCTCGGCCTTGAGGAGGGTGATGGTCACCTCTTTCGGCTGTCCCGGTCCCGGATTATCTGAAAAAAAAAAAAGGTAGGGAAAAATCAACACAGCAGTCAGTCACATTGTGCCATTATTGAGGCCGTAAACTTTACCGACATTGAGGAGGTAAGCCTGATCGTAGTGTCATACCACACCGCAAGCGGCGAGCCATGGTAGCGGCAGCGGTGCCCGGCATGGACCAGCTAATTCGACGAAGAACTGCACAAAATTGAGCAACCTTGCTGTCCTGTCAGAGTCATGTAGCCCGCCTTCTGTAGAATACCACCAGCGTTCCTTCGTGGCGAGAACTACCGGGAGCAGAAGGAGAGGGACAGACTGGCACCAACCAGAACGTCAAGTCTACACCAATCGGCAGAGAATCGTCTCCTGCTGGTGCTGGTGCTGCCGTTAAGTGCCGAGACCACGCTGAACATGTATAATATATTTCATGTGCTCGTTGCACCACCGTACATCAAGGTGCGTCATCATCTCCGTGTACACTCGGATGGGTCGCATCATTCCCCGCAGGGATTTCACCCCCCGACACCAAAACACAACAACACAACACTATCGCCACACGACAAAACCACACAGCACAGCATGGTAGAAACACTGCACCCAGGCGCACCAACCCCGCGGGCGCTGCAAGTGCGACTCGACTTCCACGACCGAAAGACAGCAGTAGAGCAGTGATAGTGATAGACGTACCGATCTGCCAAGTGCAGCCCTCCGGGTCGACCGGCTTGAACAAGTTGCCCTGCGGAGAGGGAGGTGATGGGAGCGGGGGGGGTGTACTCATACTCATAGTCGTGCATGCCGTAGTCGTTTGACCATTGACCTCGCATCCCTACAAAGCCGGGACGGAGCACGCCGGGTTCTCACCGGACCAGGCTCTCACATCACCAAGCGCGAAGCGCCGTGAGGTATTCGGCGAGTCGCATGAAGGGTGAGCTGCATCCTGCTAAGGGTGTTCGGCATCTTGTGCTTACTTCCTTGCGTACGGATGACAGCTACGTATGACTTAATTTATTTTCTGGTGCTTTCACTTCCAGAGACAGTTGTAAGCACTGTGTAACTGCCTCGAGGAAGCTTGACCATTTTTACACAACGTGGTGCGATCATCCCCCGTTGCGCGGAGTGAGGTTTCTCGACCCCGCACAACATGATCTACTCGACCACCACTACGGTTACCGCCAAAAAAAAAAACGAGGTAAAAAAAAAAAAACGGTAACCTGGTTGCCGAGTTCACGAAGTGAATTGGCTTGTTTTACAACGTCGTTGCCAAGCGACGAAAACCCAATCCCGATGGCAAACACCGAGTGGGGGGTTAAAAAAAGTTTCGATACACCTCTCGATTCGTGCGTGTCATCCTTGCTCCAGGGGCCATGCTAATCTTCTCTGTATCGTTCCAATTTTTACGGATGATGACTTTCGTCAGCGGGGGGGGGGGGGGGGGGGGGGGGGGGGTCGTTGCTGTAGGGAACAGGGGGGGAAAACCCC